TTGCAACTGTTTGTAGGAATGGCAAAGAGCCAGGCAGCATTTGTCCCATTGTACATGAGGTCACTATTTTCAGGCTGACCTCATGTCAGATGACAACATATTATATATATAAAATTGAATTTTGTTGTGGAAGGGTATTTCTGAGTCATAAAAGTGCTAAACTGATAAGACAAAATGGAATAGGTTCTGTTACATTTCTAGTCTGTGCACCCAGAAAACAATCACTCTCTATCTTCTTTATTATCAGATAACAGTAAAAGATTATGCAAAGATCTGATAATCCAACACAACAAATAACCAAGGATAGTATTTAGATAAGCCTTGACAATTTAGATTTCAATCAGAGCTTGGTTTTGTTTACTGTCTTAGTTCCCAAGGTTCTAAAACCTCAGTGTCTCTTATTGAAGAGGTGGGGCGGGGCGGGTGGCTGTGGAGAATAGAACAGCAAATGATAGTTTTGTCCTTTGGTAATTATATGTCTACTCTTTGAGACTTACTTATTATTAAATGAGTGAGTCAGGAGAAAAAAATGTACTTTTTTTTTTACCCCTTATTGGAAATATGAACTGTTACTCCATACCATCACCAGTTGCGGTGTACTTCATTCCAAAGCATATGACCCCATGTCTGTTAGAGTGGAACTATGCTCCAGACAGTTTTCAGTGACTAATTTTCCCAAAGCAGATCACCAGGCCCTTATTTTGAGGTACCTCTGGGTAGATTTACAGCTTCAACCTTTTGGTTAGGAACCAAAAATGTTAAGCTTTTGCATTACCTGATGACTCATTCTAAACCAGTTGCCATCAAATAATTCTAATTCATATCTTATCTGTGCATTATCATTCATTTTCTTGCATCATTCTTTCACAAGAAGGAAGGATATCTTTTCTGATGCTATATTTTAGCATCTCATAAGCAGGGTGAAATGTAGTAGGAAATTAAGTCTTTTATTCTGGTCCCAGGCCAGATTCTTTGCCTATCTCTGGAACATGATGCTCTGACCTCCTCAGGAAAAGGAGAATTCACTTGATAGCTGGCCAAAAGAGACCTTTCAGTTCTCAATTCTGTGGTGTTGCAATGGATCCTCATCTGTAAATAGAATCTACTAACAGCTGTTCTTAAAAGAAAAATATGTGCTTCTAGAGTTAACATATTATGCTGCAAACCTCAGTTTGTAGAAGACCAAGTAAGTGCATATAGCTCATTATGTTAGCTGAAATTGTATATTCTCATAAAAATCATAGGCTAAAGCAGTTATCTGCTACTTCTGGTGGTAGGGACTTAAAAAAAAAAACCAACAAATAAACCAAAACTTTTTGTTTTAATAGGGTACTCTATGACAGATTGACCTGTGTATAGGAAACACTCATTTAGACACCAGCACATGACTTATTAGTTTTTATTGGAAGTGTTTCGTGTTTCAGTATTTCAAATCTCATGAAAAGATCTTACTGTAGAAACAGAGACAGGAACAGCAGTTTACTGTATTGCCTTCTTTTAGTAGTCTTCTTTGATGCTGTTAGTAAATATAAACCAGAATACCAATTCACTGGCCTCAGTAGAGTCTGACCTATGGCAACTGTCTATATTCTTTTATAACTGATTTCATTCAGCATTGTTTCTGTGAGATTAAGCCATGATGTTGCATATAACTAGGGTTTGTTCATTTTTCTGCAATGCAGTATTCAACTGTGGGAACATAATTTATCCAGTGTGCTATTGATAAGTCTTCATTTGAGTGGTTCCCACTTTGGAGCTATTATAAATAATGCTGATACCAATATTCTTACATAAGCCTTTTGGTGAACATAAACCTGCGTTCATTTGGTATATACATAAGAGTAGACTTGACAGGTTGTGCATTCAGCTTCAGTGAAGAATGTCAGAAAGCACTGCAGAATTTCCTGCCTTCACCAGCCGTGGAGAAGAGGTTCAATATCCTCACTGACTCTTGGTACTGACCATGTCCTTTATTTTAGCCATTCCTTTGGATGTGTAATGATGTTGACTTTCATCCACAGTCTTTTTTCTTTGGCTTTATACCCTATTTCCATATACTATTGAGTATCCTCTTACCTTGAACAACCATTTTTTTAAGAAACACAATTTTTAGACTCCGTTTGGTACTGCAAATAGAAGCAGAAAAAATGTCCTCTACTTTGTAATATTGTAAGAGGAAGATACTCATAAAAAGATGCTATTAATGTTAATGATAGAACATAGACACACCAAAAAATGTCTTTGCATGATGGTAGCTTATCCATAGTACACTTACATGTTATCACATTGAGGCAGGCATATTCAAAAGGCACCAAATGATAATCCATTTATACATCTTTTAGTGTTACCTTCTAAGTTGAAGGTCCAAATGACCCATGAGAGAAATGGTCAAAGCCAATGCTACTTTCCCCTTGTTACCTCTACAACAATAAATGGACCTAGTACTTTTATCAATGGGCTTGAACATATATCAGAGATCATGAGGATGTCTCAGAATAGGGCAAGGATGAGATATGTTGTTTATAGAGTTGCTGTGAGAGTCATAGGTGACGCAATGGCAGCTAGAAATAATAACCACCACCTCTGTAACTCTAGCCCTATTATGTAATGAATGGGGGGGAAAGGCAGAAGACAAACAGACATCTGGAAGCAAAAACACTTCATGTAATTCCCTACCTGAATAACTAAGGGAAATGGATTAACACCTATGAGTTAGGAATATTTGCGATGGAGTACAGTTCTACTCTGACACACAGGGAATTGCCATGATTTGCATCAAGTCCAACAGTCAGTGGTGAAGGTAAATTTATGTTTGAAATATCCACCTCATCATTCACAGATATTTCTGGAATATTTTCATTATATCAGGCACTGACAAAGGTATTTTTGTTTCTGTCTTGACCCATAACAATCCTGTATGTAAGACAGAACATTGCACTGATTGTACTTAAACCCATTGTTGTAGTTACCTTGTCAATATTCTTGAGAATCTTCTCCTTCTTTTCCAAGGACTGGCGCCTTCTGAAAGCATGCCCGAAATAGGTTAAATGAAGTCTCATAATGTTTGCTTCTGAGGAGCCAGATTGTGGGCTGGCACAGAACTGGGTAGAGTTTTACATGATTAGGGTTGTTCCTTGGATGGCTATGAGTTGAAGTCAACTTAAGGGCACCAGTAAGTAACAAGAAGCACCCTGGTTGCATTTCTTCCAGGACAGATTTGATTTGATTTTTTTTTTTTTTAACTTCTGGCACTTCATGATATATTAACTATTCTTCAACAACCCTACAATTAAAAGACATTCATTTTTCCTCATTATCCTCTATTCATGGTCTTATTTTCACATGCACATGAAGCAATGGAAAATACTATTGCTTGGGTCAGGTGCACCTTAATCTTTAAATTGACATAGACTCACTTGCATTTTAAAGTGGTTCTTGGAAGCAGATTTGCCCAATGCAACTTGATTTCTTGACTATTGCTTCTGTGGGTTTTGACTGTGGAACCAAGTAAAAGTATTAGATATTGTGGTTCAATGTAATCCATCAGGGTTTCAGGCGCTATAGATTGCATAGAAGGAAACTGCTCATTTTTTAAAAATCTATTTTATTTTATTATTTGTGTGTGTGTGTGTGTACCATCAAATTGGATCTGACAGGTACAGGAGGAGATTTGTCCCTCCTTCCCCGGCAGAGCATCTGGTGGATTAGAACCTTGCGCCTCTGGGATTGCAGTACAGCTTCTTGCCACTGAAACTGCTCATTTTTGTCCTGCAGAGCAGCTAGTGGATTCAAACTGCTTACATTTGGATTGACAGCGTAACTCCTTACTCTTTAGGCTTCCAGGGTTCCCTCATAATAATTGTTGTTGTTGTTCTTGTTGCATATTGTTGAATTGGAACTGACCCATAGCTGACTCTCCAGTGGATTTTTAGAGACAATAAATCCTATGAGCGACCCATCTTTCTCCTGTGGAAAAAAGCTGGTGGGTTCGAACCATGTACCTTTGCATTGTCAGTACAATTCCTTACCACTAAGCCACCAGAGCTCCCTTAATATCTATTAGGGATACAAAACATAAAACTGCTTTTGCGAGACTCACAGTCTAAGACGGAGACAGATGTGTCAATAAATATTTATTATGTAGTGTAAACATGTCACTGAAAAGACAAAGTGCACGGAAGGAGGTCAGGGTGACACAAAGGAAAAAACTGAGTCCATTTTCTAGAATGGGTAATGTAGAAGAAGACTTCACAGGAGGGGTAGCTGTTGATCTGGAAGTTTCCCAAACAGCAAATAAAAGGCCATTCTAGGGAAGAAGGAAGTAGGCAAGTGACTAAGAGCTGCTTGTTTATTATTTCTAGAGCTTAAGTATGATGAAGAGAGGAGTGGCAGGTAATGCAATTGATTAGCTATACTTGGGCAATGAGTGGCTTGAAACACTAACCCAGAGAATTCTCTCCACTACCTATAGAATCAGTACTTTAGTTCAGTAAAAATTGTTGAACCCTAAGCCAGGTTTTTAAAATGCAAAGATGAGCCAGCCCATTTATTCTATCAATAAATGGTCCTTGATGATCTTACTATTTGCCAGAATGCTGTCCTTAAATACAAACCGTTTCATGAGGTAGAATTACATTTAGCTTAGTTGAGCAAGGTGGGTATTAGAATAAAAATACATGCATGCGTCTTTATCAGACAATATAAGAAAAAATGGTCTTGGGATTCTGAACCTGAAGGAATTTTCATCAAGTGTATTAATAATAATCATTGTTTTGTCTTAGGGAAAGCAATACTGGTGATGGAATAATTTCCAGCAATCTTAAGCTGAAGTAAATATTTGAAATATTTGCTGGCTACATAATACAGTCAGTTTAAATAAATATTACAGGAATGGCAAGGCTTAAGTTGTGTCATCTGTATTATCTCTGGGTATTACATGGACAGCTGATAGATTGAACACTGTGAGCAGACCTCTCCACTCTCCTGTTCTCACTTCCCAGGTTACAAAGAATGAACGCCAGGTGATGAAGCCGCTCTATGACCGGTATCGGCTAGTCAAACAGATCTTATCCCGAGTTAACACCATACCCATCATTGTGAGTACAACACCCTTCTCTTGTTGACTACCTGATTGATGGGCCCTCAATGTCTTAATAAACCCTAACCTTTCTCATTAAAGAATAGGCTGTCCTAGTTGAACCAGCCATTCAACTCTGTGGCTCACAAACTTGAGGACTGGAGAATTTATCAGAGACACTGAGGCTACTCTGGCCAAAAATTAGCCAAGCTGAGACAATTTTTTTCTTTTAGGAGACATTCACTGGCAGTATGTAACCAATTGGCATGCATTAGACCAAGCCTGCAGCCCTCTCCTCAGATAGAGAGCACCAAGAAAAGAGGGCTATGATTTCTCTCCAAGCTTCTCCCCCTCCAGAGAACGCCTCTGAACCTAAAAGCCCTCTGTTAATAGTCTTCTCTCTCCTTTAAAAGAGGGGTAACCCCCATGTGAACTATAGGGTGGAGAAGACCACTAAGAAATTCAGGAGGGCGCCCCCTCTTCTCTCAGAGGACGTGGAGACACAAACAGAGGGAAGTAAATAATTGTAGACCTGCTCTCTGTGGCCACCATCCTCAGGCTTAGCTGGGTGAGGACCCCTGTGTTTCATGTTACAGAGACTGAACAGCAGCAGCTTGCCTGCAGCTCTGGGGTAGCAGTGGCCTCAGCCCTTATCAGTCTTGGCCTTTCCATTCCTTGGTTTTTAGGTGGCTTATTAACATCCTGACAATCCCTTGGACAACTGTTTGCCTCTATTTCAATTCTCTCATCTCCAGTGGCCTTGGAATTTCCTCTGCTGGTTTTTTAATAAGGAGGCGCATATCAATTTTATTAAAATACATATTCATTGTAGCTGCTACTCTTCCCTAGCCCTTCCTGGTTTGTATCTAGACCAAAAATATGGTCCTTATTATTTCTTATAATAGTGTACTTGTTCTCCTGAATAAAAGAGGATCCAGATATCTCAAATGTGTTCAAAGAAAATAACTCATCTGGACATTTCTACAGAATAAATTAATAAGTAACAAAGAGAATAAGCAAGATGTCTGTTTCATTCTACAGTTGGGAGCGATCAGTGCCCCTAAGTGGGGTAAATGGACAGCAGAGAAATCGGATAACTTTGAATGGTTTCATTGGCTTACTTTAGTCTCAGATTATTTTAGAGTGTCCTTGTAGTTATTTGTGGTGGGGAGGGAAGTGGGTGGGAAGGCAGGGGTTTTCCCTTCAGGTGCTTTAAAGTCTTTAGTTAGGATACTAATGTTCTGCTCTAGTTCTGATGTGTCCTCCTACACCTGTGTGTGTGTGTGAACTTGCAAGTGAAGCAGTGACTTGGAAAAGAACTTTCACTGCTTTAGGTTTCAGGTTTTCCAGTTCAGTGTGTGTCAGGGGAGGGGCTAAGTTATGTAGAGCTAACAGGTGGTATGAAATGCTGATGAGGTCAGAGGAGGCAGGGAAGCAGAGGGACAAGGAAAGGCATTCCCAATGTAACCTACTTGTTAACACCTGTCACAGGGTTCCCCCTCCAGCAAGAGGAGAAGCCCTTTGCTGCAGCCAATTATCGAGGGCGAGACTGCTTCCTTCTTCAAGGAGATAAAGGTGACGACCTCCAGCTGCTACACCTTCCTCCTTCCCCCATGTGAATGGAAAGGGGTTGTATTTGGGTCTCTGGTGGTGGCTTCTGAGAGGGTCTCTTCAAGATCAGTTGCATAGAAACAGCTTAGAGCAATCCTTGTTGATCTGAATTCTAGAGGAGTTTATTTTCATGTTTGTATTTCATTCCCTCTCTTTTAGCTTTGGGGTTGTTTTGAGTTTGGGTGTCTTGTGTGGGGCTTTCTTTTAAATTGCTGCTGTTTTCCCTTTTTGCTTTACTTCAGAGCTCCTAATTTGATTTGCTCTTTTGCAAAAAGTTTAAAGTGAATTCATTTGGGCAAGGGATTTTTCTTTATTCCAGAATATGGTTACCTTATAGGAAAAGTTGAAAACCATTTATTTACTAAGTTTGTAAAAAAATGCAAATGAATGGAGGGGAGGGTGTGTGTGTGTGTGTGTGTGTGAGAGAGAGAGAGAGAGATGTTGTTCAGAGTGCTCAGCTGATAAACAGATGATTGGAGATTCGAACCAAGCCACTTCATGCAAGAAAGTGATGTACATTTATAAAAATGTCTAGTCTTGAAAACTCTGTAGTTGACTGTGTCCTGTAGGGTATCTCTGGGTCAGAATCAGCCTGATGACTGTGCGAAGAAAGTATATCCACAAAGGAAAAAAGTATCCATTTATAGATAAATATTTTCATTCTTTCTGGCACAGGTAGTAGTGAAATTTCACCTGTGCAGTTGTTTTCTCCATTCACCTCTCTCTGACACGTTTAATCCTCATACTAATTTTATAATCCATTCTTCATTTGTAAATATACTGCTTAAGACCTGTTAACTAAAGCATATGTCCGGATTTCCTTTCCAGCAGTAATTCCGAATCTTATATAGCTAATCCTTTCAGCCAGTGGTGACTTCTGCTAGAATAACTTCTGTAGGCAGAGAGCAGAGTGTTTCTCCATAGGGACCTAATTGGCCTGCACTAGGATCAACCGTTTTCATATTTTTGCCTCTAGACAACTGAACAGATTGGACCATCTTATACAGAGAGGTGAAAAATCAGCCAGTCACAATTTTTATTTCAAAATTTTTTTAAGGCATTTGTTTAAAGTCAGATGGGAACATTCAATCCAAGGCAAAAGTGGGTTTTAAGTGTTTTGCTTAAAAAGAGAAAAAGTTTTCCTCTGACAACTCCTACTTAGCTGGGTGGTTAGTTAGTTAGTTAGTTAGTTAGTTAGTTAGTTAGTTAGTTAAATATGAGGCCTCTTTGCCAGTGAGGGACATCAGTTGAGAACCTCTCCATTTTCTTGCTTGATTCTCACCATTAAAATCAAGCTAAGGTGCAATGTGCAGCAAAAATCTTGTTTGCATTTGACTTGCTCCTTTTCTTACCTCTTAACCATCCTAAAGGGAGCTCTGGGGGTCTATTCTGTAGAGAGCTGCACTGGTAACTCGAAGGCTGCATCTCTGGGAGTTCAAATCCACCAGCAGCTCCACAATAGAAATACAGGCAATCTTCTCATGTGCGATGAGTATTATAATCATTTTAAAAACTTCATATGCCTTATTTTAAACTATTAGGCAGAGTGAGTGATTACTGTGAATATTATTTTTCAAGAACTGGCTTTTAAAAAAATTCTTTGCAATTTGTATTGGGAAATTTGGATCAAAGGGGCAAAGTTCAAATCTGTTGTTCATAGAGTTTCTGGGAGTTGTACTCAACCCGTTGGCACTGAACAACAGCTACAGCAAAAAGCAATGTTATACCCAAACAAAAGCAAACTTACTGCCAGGCAGTTAAAACCAACTCATAGCTGACCCTTCACTGGGTTTCTGAGACTTGTAAATTACACTAGAGGATATTGTGAGCTCCCTAATGTACTATAGTCTGTCTTAAAAAGTAGAACCTTTTCCCAACAATTAGCCTTGATGGTTATAAAAGAAGGCAGATGTTGCCTACTTATTTTATATATTTAAAAATAAAACCCACAAGAAACCACTGTGATTGACAAAAGATGGGCAGTTATGTGTATGAAAATTAGCATATTCCTGTTAACAGCAGGTGATAGAACTGTGATGAAATGAAACAGGACTCTTTAACACTTTAAAATATGACACTTAGTAATTACCTCATTAAGTGACTTGAAGATACACTAATGAGTTCTTTTTCAAAAGGGATAATCTCTCAAAGTTTATGCTTTAGCATAGCTAGCTTTTTTTCACAAGTATATTTTGGCCCTGGCTTTCTTACTGGACCACATAATAGTCAGAATTTCAGATAGTTTTGCAATGATTACATTGCTTTTGTAAATAGTGCTCTCTTTGGGTTCTTTTTGTTCCACTTGGCCAGACTTTTTCATATGTATTTGAGTTGTACTGGTTCTTGGCAACCCTGGAACAATTCAAAATTTGGTTTGTGTACAGAGTGGAAGATTTTTAAATATTTTCTTTATAAACCATTCTTGGTGAGGAAATCAACTATGCATTAAATAGAGCCAGATCCAGTTCTGGCAAATTCTACCTTTCAATTAAAAGAAACCCAAAGAAACATCAGCTGGTCAATTCTCTTAAGAATCTGTTCTCAAAGTTCTCTATCTCTGAATACAGACACTGTCCCCAAGAAAGGATTTCATCACTGGTGAGGGTACTATAGCTCATTACATATGTTATGTGCCATCAAGTTGCTTGCCACTCATAGTGACCCTATATACAATAGCCCTATACTCTATCCTGTGCCAATCGCATTGTCTCAGACAATCCCCCATCCCCCCAGCTAAAATTTTATTTTATGCTATTTCTAAATTAGGCTCTCTGGCAACCTAACCCAGAGGGAGTTGTGCTGCTAACTTAAAAGCAGTTCTTTGGGAGTTTGAATCGACCAGCTCCTCTCTGGAAGAATGATGGGCAGTCTCCTCTTGTGTGACTTACAGTCTCAGAAACCCATGGAGGGCCAGCTATGGATCGGTTCTGACTCACAACAATGAGTTCAGTCAGAATTTAAGAATTACATTTAAATTATTAAACAATTGTTTAAAATACAGTTCTAGAATGTATATTTAATAAATATATAGCAGTTAAAAAATTATAATATTTATCAACTCACCTCATTGCTGTCAAATCAGTACTGACTCATAGCTGATACTCCAGAGGGTTTTCAGAAGCTGTGAATCACTGGAGAAGAAATTGACCTTTCTCCCCTGGAACAACTGGTGGGTTCAAGCCGCAAGTTTTTGTGCACAACTCCTCACTCATTAGGCCACCAGAGTTCCCTATAATTGTCATAGATTTTTAAAATTTATTACTTTTTACTTAATGGGTTTCTCTTGGCCTATAGAGCTAAATGGAAAACAGTTATGCGGACCACTGTGCCACCAATGCTCTCTGTGGAATAATGGATAAGCACACGGCTTTTATCCAGAAAGCACATCACCCATTTACAGTCAGCTGC